ACAACTTACTTCACCAGAAGACAAGTTGTTACAGAAACCAGATGGTACTACGATCTGAGGATATTTGTGTCGCCACTCCAGCTGCCACTGTAGGAAGAGTTGTTGTTGTTGAAGCAGTAATTCGTATGTAGTCTCTACTGGACTTGACAGTACTGTGTGGTTTTTCTGAGCACTAGGGGGACCCTATGTATTTTAAATATTTATCACTTTCTGCAGTTTAAGGATACTTTTAACTAAATTAGATGTCACTAATCATAGAAATAATTTACAGTACATCAATCCTTCTTTTGTCCTAATCTAATTATTTTTCTGAAGTTTATCATCTTTCAGAGACATATTAATCTCTAATGAGTAAAAAAATTCTTAACAAAAATATTTGCTGGGACTTTATGATAGGAACTCCTTCTAATTTTACAAAATATATGAAAAAGTTCAGTCGCATGAGAATTGGCAAGGTTAGTGAGTAAAAGTAGCAGAGAAAAAAAGAGAGCTTTCTGACACCAACGAGGTCAATAAAGACAAAATGGTGGTCATTTAATTACAATTTGTCCAGATAGAGTGCCATTGTGTAAAAAAGAAAGATATCTATCATGTCTAAATAAGATGGTTGTAAGGAATTATTCTAGCTATAATTTCACATATATCAGGATTTTATTTGAATATTTTGACTTTTCACAGCATTGGTTCTGAAAAATAAGAAGAAATCTACCATTGAAAAAAAGTAAAAATAATATGTTAGAATTTCCTTACTATTTATCACTAGCGAAAGTACCTGCCTGTGCTCAGGTTATTAGGTTGATAGTGTGTGTATTCTGAACCCTTTTTAGCATAAAAGTATAACCCATATACATTTGTTGCTAAGCAATATGTGAATGCTCACACACGTGTAGATAAAATAAGTAATACCCAGGTGCACACCCTCAGGGTCCCTTTAGAAAGGCTGCAAAATTTTAGGTTTCTAGGTTCTTTCTAATTGGAGCTATGGCAGTCACAGTTCTTGTCTACATAGTCTACATAAACAGATGCATATGGACATGAATGCATGCAGATGGATAAGTAATAATATCCAGTTGTACACCCTGAGTGTCCACTTAGTATAGATGCAATATTTCAGGTTTCTAGGTTCTTTACTCTTGGAGCTATGGCAGTCACATATTCTTTTCTATGTGGTTTTATGCTAGCTTTCTTCACAATAAGATGTGCTTACACACATGTACATGCAGATGGATAAGTAATAATACCCAGGTGCACAACCTCAGGGTCCACTTAGTATGGGTGCAATATTTCAGGTTTCTAGGATCTTTACTCTTGAAGCTATGGTGGTCACAGACACACCCTTTTATTATTATAGATAATCACAAATCCACAGTCTTGAGTGTTAAAACTAGTTTTTAACAGAAAGAAACATCTTCATACAGTACTTCATGGTATATCAAAATATCTGAACATTACAAGTTAAAATATTGGAGCCAAAGTAAAAAAAAACCTCCCAAAGTATAATAAGGAAAAAGGATAAGATATAATATGGCATGAAAGGATAATTTACACTATCTACTTGTTTTGTTTTATGGCAGGGCTGCTTAGGTTGTCTGGTACTAATTTTGATCTGCTGACCAGAAGGAATGCAACCAGCCATCAGCATCAACCTCCAAATCTTGGGCTATTCTTTTACCAACAAATGGTGGGATTCACCATCACATTATAATGTCCCCATGTCTGAAAGAATAAACATGTTCAGCTCTGAGTTTCAATCCACAGATTGTGACCCAACCACCAGGCTATTGGACTGTTTAAGTGTTTTTACATATGTAAAACTTTTATTTTATTTTTTTTCTTGCTACACGTTCTTTGATGAATGAAGTCAAAAGTCACTTTGAATGGCCATCACTTTCTTACTTTCTTTTTATTTTAGTTATTATTTATTTGGTTTTAAAGTTTTTTATTATTATAAATAATATAAAACAAATCTACTTATTGAGCTTGTTTATGTTTAAGATATAAAAAATATATAATTATTAACAATGGTTGAGTATGTTATTGTATAAGCAATTTGAATATGCAAATAAGCAAGCCAATGTGACAACCACAGCCAATATATAAAGTCCAGGTATACAGTGTGTAGCAGAAATGCATTTTGGCATTTCACAGGTAGTGTGATGCCATGAAAATGTTACTGATTTTGGAAAGGGTATCTAACAGCCCTTTCCAACATAAAGTATTCACACATTCAGATCATAAAGATGTGGTCAGTTTGGAGATTTAGAATTTACAAGATGAGAATATACCTTGTACTTAATGACATTGGATGACAAAGAAATATGGATCAATTTGGGCCATGAAGACCACTCAGAAAAAGACCTGAAACCAGTAATATCCCAGCTATGGTAAGCAAAATGCAATGTCTTGTAACAAGTGAGAATCCACAAATACAAAGATCAGTCACAAAAACCATGAATGTACCACAGGCAACAGTATGCAACATAATCCAGTAAGATCTCTGTCTGGAGAGTGAAATGGGTATTCATGCTATTCCATATGAAAATATATCAGTCAAATCACTGAGAGCAATACCTATGAATTTCTATACAATCTTATTATTGAAATGGGTGATGGGAAACTGCCATCCTACATTAGAGATTATGAAAAGCATTAGGAAGGGTGGGTGTTCTTTGGACATGACAATCTTGAGACAGAGCCTTTTATAATGATTTGTTTGTTGATTTTTTCATAAACCTACTTAAGGACTATTTCCACTAATTTTAAAGTGATAGATCAGAAAGAAGGCAAATAGTCAACACCACCAACTGATCCTTCTTTCAATTAATGTTAATTCTGATATTGGCTTTAGTAACTGATCCTTCTTTCAACTAATGTTAACTCTGATATTGGCTTTAGTAACTGATTAGGTGAAAGAAGGATTTACTAAAGCCAATATCAGAGTTAACCCTGATCCTTCTTTCAA